TAATATTAGTAAGGGTAAAAGTATTTTTTTCGGGTGCCGTGGCTAGTAATCGGGTGCGGTGTTTAGGAACAGGTTGAGAGGTTGGAGAGCTTGAGTTGGTACTGCTCAGAGTGAAGCCGGAATCTGTATTATTCCGTCGTCGGCGGCAGTTAAACCTTTCACTCCGATGACTTTCACTCAGTTCTCAATGGTATACTCTTCAAATTTCGTATTTCTTAAATTTTACTAAGGAATACTTGTCGAGTTCTTTTAATCTTAATATGTTCTTCTAATCTGAAGTTGAGTTCTGCGTAGTTGAATGGTTGCCCGTTCACATGGATTTTCCACAATAAAGGAGCAGTTGTTTGAGGGCGTAATGATTTTGTGAAGCGAAATTTTCAGATGAACTCACTTTGTGCCCTTACATTGAAAATTTTGATTGCTCGCTCTCATTCATCATGCATTTATTTTACATTAATGGGTGCTCAGATTGAAGAGTTGGCTTCTCTAGTTAAAGATAATCTTCCTAGCAAGCATCTCATTTTGTCGGTGGAAGAGCTGTTGGTGAATTTTCTTGAGGAAGATACAAGGTAAATTGGGTGAATTTTCCTGACCCAATAGTGTCATCATCAATGTGAATATACCTACCATGGGATACAAATACAAGTACCTTTCGGATTAGTAGGAATATCCATATTTAATCTTCACTGGGATCTGTAAATTCAGCTCAATAATTGTTACTTATGCAGTGTAGATAGAGTGCTTGAGCTGGAACCAATGAATCCTTATAATCGTCTGCTCGTGCATCGTCTTGCTGACATTTTTGGGTAGTTTTGCTTCTCAAGTTCTTATTTTTTGTTTGATTGTTTTGTACTATAGGTAATAAATTTTGGTACTTGTTATTATAGAGTCTGACTTGTAAGTTATCTATTATAGGTTCTCTCATCAGTCTGTCGGTGAAGGAGAATCCAGGCACTTAGTTCTGGAGCGTTGCCTAGAGACGTCAATGTAGGTGAAATGAAGTCTCCATTCTTAAAGTGCATATACCTTCAGTTTTGTTAGGACCAATTTATTTATTATTTTGGTTTTGTAAAATTTTCTACATTTTGAATCTGTTTGGGTTTAAATCATGCTTAGACAACCAAACACCTAAAGCAAAAGATTTTCCTAGAGGGTTTCTTGTTGAGGTATTAAAGAAAATGCTAGCTCTAGCCTTGTATGCCTATTGAAGCTGAAAAGAGTCAGTAAGTCATTGATCAGTCGTCACGGGTAAATCCGTAAGTAGATAACAATTTCCAGGGTCAAGGAAATCTGAATATATTATTGTTCATAGGAATCACTCCCAACAAAATGTGTAACTTCGTGAGATGATATAAGATGAAAATGTAATGAATGTATTTGTGGTGATTTTGGCCAGGTAGGTCCCTATTGTTGGAGAAATTTAGTATGTAGGGTTAAGGCTGACATTCTGCAACTTGTGATATATAGTTATAATGTTATGTAATTCAACAGTTGACTATTATGGTTTCAAGTCTGATACTGGAGCTAAGGTGGTTTATGATTTGGTTACTTGTTTAAAGTTCTGTCAGAGAACTCATTGATGGAAACAGTGTTTGTTGCCTTGTTGGTAAAGACAATGCATTATGTAACCATTAAAATTGTTATATTGGATGAAATGCAGGCCACCCATCCTTGTGAGTGATTTGGTCTTGCAATTTGATGAAAGGCAGCCAAGTATGACTTTTGACGAACCGAGATGGAATGAAGTTATGCCAGGTGAAGTATCATATTTGGTTAGCAAAAACCGAAATTCTTTCTGCGTTAATAACTAGTGAGTACGATATTTCTTGTTCAATAAAATAATTGATGGGAAACAAGAAAGAGGTAAATAAGACACCCCAAAAGCCTAACCTAAATATCCAACAAGTCGAACATCAACAAGCCCAAAATAACCAAGAAATAAATACTGCAAAACTAATAATAATAAGGATAATAAAGTAGTACTCAAACGAGCGGCATAAGGCAATCATGTTTGTGGAGAAACGCCAACGCACTCTTGCCGGCATCCTTTTCCAGAGGATTCGCCCTCGAATGCGCACCGCTCTCGTCGTCAGAATTGTCACCCTGAAAATGGATCAAGTGCTTGACATTGAACACATCCGAGGTGCGCACACGAGACGGCAAGCAAAGACGGTAGGCGTTTGGGTTAATTTCCGACAGCATGATATACTCATCTGCCGGAAAGCGGTCCTTTGTCAAAACGACAAACGGCCCAGACGAAATCGCTCACATCAAACTCCACATGTCGGCGGTGCGCGTCTGCCCGACGCTTATAGGCAGTTGGAGTCGTGGCCTCCAACTGATGTAGGGTGGTAGACGATTGGGAATAAAGAGATATTCTCATTTAAAATCAACCAAAGACATCAAAGAAGATGAGTCCTTTAAATAAGGATCTCAAAACTTTGAGCATGTATACAAAAATTTTTACTCAAAATTTCATTCAACTCAAAATCTAACTCAACTCCAATATCCTCAATATTATCAATATAATTAAATAATATCATCAAATCATTCTAACACATCACATCTACTTTAATTCACTATTGCCCACTCACATAATTTTAACTAACCATCACTTCATATCATCTCTCTTCTAATTTAAATCAAATCAACTTTAATTATTTTATTTTAAATATTATTTTAATATAAATCAAAAATCCCATTAACAACAAGCCATACCATTTTTTTTTCAAATTAACTAGTTAACCAAAAAACTCCACTTTGAGTGACAATTTTTGTATACAAACATGCCCGAAGACTAACTTGTCACCCAGCCAAAATTAATATATATTAAATAATAATAATAATAAATATGAAAAGCTATTAATAATAATATTAAACACTATTCTGCATCAATAGATCTCAATTTAAGTATTTTTTTATGAAAGCAAGACTAGATTGTATGTGTATAAAATCATTAGTTAGTTGTAAGGTTTAATTTAGTTTTGCTCCAACATTTTCTACTAATTTAAACCTTACTCTCTCGCTCCAGTTTATCTCTTCAATTATCACTTTCAAGCATGAGCAGTTTCGATATATTATTCCTCCACTTTGTGGCATTCTGACGTCCAAGGTTAAAGCCGGAGATTGTGATTTATATAATACCGAATGCATTATTGAATTATCTAGCTTCTCAAGTTAGTAATTTGTGCTGAGATACCAATCATTATGCAATTTAAGCATGAGATAACTATTTTAAGTTTTTTTTTTTTTCTTTTCCCGACTGTCCAGGCCAGAGTAACACGGCCTTGAGTAAATCTTCATTCGAGGAGAGGGAAACATCTTATATTGCTGCAAGGGAAAGAATATTTTCTTCAGATGCAAGGGAGACAAAAATGGTGAAGGAGAGGCCAAAATATGATCCTGTGGTTGCCCGCCGTATGATAACTCATGCACTTGGCCATTCAGACAAGGCGACACAACATGAGCCAAGTTCAAATGATGCTAAGGATGCTACACAAGCAGCAAATGGTATGAAATTCCAGTACACGGAATATGAGCGGGACTTATGTGGTAGAGACGAGCTGGGGAAAAACTCAACTCCCAGGACATGTGAGACCTCAAAAGAAGGCCTGTCAAAGAATAGCATAAAAAGAAGTGATGATTGTTTGAGAAATGAGCATATGGGAGCTGCCAAGAGATTGTTTGCTAATGCTTTGGGGATGCATCCAAGGGATGCCAATCACCCAAAGTGTGATGGAACAAGGAATTCCAGTTGCTGATATTTTCGGTAGTCTCGTATAGTTGGTGCATAAATGATAAATTCATATTTGCTCTGTATTAATTACCTTTTCTTATTGTGCATTGACGGTCTAATAATTGTGGCAGATACAGATTTGGAAGCTTTCTGGCCCCTAATATGACAAACAAACTGGTTTTTTGCAATCCCGCGACTCCTCTTGTGCATCAAGGTAAAATTAACAAGCATCGTTCAAGTTCTTAAACATACATGCCTGTATTTAGTGATTTCAAATAACATGTGTACGTCAGATTCGTAAACATGTAACTATCACGGGAATATTTCATGTCCAACTTTGCTTAAGTTCATATCTTGCTACCAACTCATTTA